ATCTTCTATAATCGCAATACCATGACTGAGGTATGTATGTGAGATTCCGCCTGAATAGGGGCAATTACCTAGCGAGTAGATCCTTTCTAGCTAGGTGTAACGCTAGTTAAGATGAGATAAGAATTCTAGTGCAGCTTTGAGTTAAGTGAATTAAGAACCCTAGAGCAGCCTTGAGTTAAGTTTAATTTAAGATGATCTTAGAATAATTCTTCCCCAAGGGACATTGATCTAGAGATAGGTTTCGTCATAACCAAGTGTTTCTAATCCCCAGTTAGTATCAAGGACTCTAGTGCAGTTGTGAGTTAAGCTCCAACCTTAGAAGTGCATAAGAGTTAGTTTTGCCCTAGTATGGGCAACGACCTACAGATTAGGTCCTACAGTTGCTTATTGTGAGCGTGAAGACCTAGTGTCCTTCTCGCCTGTTAAGCAGTCAGTTGAGCAGCAATTATATACAGTCAGTTGAGTAGCAATTAGAGATAGTCAGTCGAGCAGCAGTTATAGACAATATAGAGATAGTCAGTCGAGCAGCAGTTATAGACAATATACTTATTTATACGCATTTGTGATGTGTTCTATCATATTAGATGTATGCTTAGGTTGTGATGTGTTTTATCATATCAGATGTATGCTTAGGTTGTGATGTGCTTATCATATCAGATGTATGTTCAGTTCGCGATGTTGCAGTTATAGCTAGCCAGTTGAGCAACGACTATAGTTAGTCAGTTGAGCAGTCGTTATAGTTAGTCAGTTGAACAACAATTATAGTCAGCCAGTCGAGCAATCATTATAGTTAGTCAGTTGAGCAGCAATTATAGTCAGCCAGTCGAGCAGCCATTATAGTAGTCAGTTGAGCATCATTTATAGTTATCCAGTCGAGCAAAAATTATAGACAGTCAGCTGAACAACAGTTATAGGCAGTCAGCTAAGTAGCAGCTATAGATAGTTTGCCGATTTAAGTTTTTATTTGATGAATGCCTAATATGTCAGTAAAATGTTCATCATCATATCGTTTCTTGCCGACCCAATAAGTACTTGCATATATGCCGATGTCATGATATGTTATTATATTAGCTGTATATTTATGTGTTGGTTCTGGCGGAGCACGTGGATTATTTATGCTCACGTCCCCCACTAACTATTTTTTAGGTGACGGTGTCGAGCGTGGAGCGTGAGCCGATGATGTGGTGGTGGTCGTAACAAGGATATTTTAAGTAAACATGTCATGTATATTTGAAAATGTTTGAGTTATGATGATTTGTTCATGCATGCTTGCATTTGCTTCCGCACTTAGTATTTCAGTATTACAGTATTTCATTATCTAGAATTTTAGCCTATGCATGCTTAAATTCTGAGATGTTCAGAGTAATGAATTATACTCGGTTGCATGCCTAGTAATTTAAAGATATTAAAGATTAAAGATTTAAGATTTAAGTTGAGTAGCATCCCGCATATTAAAGTTAAAGTATTTTCAAAAAATTAATATGAGTTTTCGAAAATTAATTCAGAGCTTTCTTTTTATAGGTCGAAAAATTTACTCTGATTTTAGTAAGTTTAGGCGGGGTGTTACACAAATAATAAGACAATAAGTATCGAATACAGAACAACATATCTAGTATTATTAATAGAAAAAAAAAAACGATTTCTTTTATTAAATTTTTATAAACAAAATACAGATTTACCATTATTAGAAATAACATTTGTAAGTTATACAATCCAATTATTCAAAGATTAAATAACATAAGTCATAGCGTCCACAACTAGATATACAATCTAATAAAATAATTACCACGAAAATATATAATACAAAAATATATCATACCTGAAAGAGATATCACAATAAATTGGCCAATCAGGTCGAACGACCCATGTGGTTGAAGTAGAGCAGCAGGAAGGTCAATCTTCGACAAAGTGTCTTCAAGTAGAAAAGAGCGAGAGTGGCTCAAAGAACGACAGGTCGAGCTAGGATCCTCGGATGACTTGATGGAAACGCGACCTGTAGGCATGGTTGGTCGTGTGATCGACCAGAATGAACAACATGTAGGCTCAGAAAAGGCAACATTCTACCTCAGCAGAACTCGATATGGCCGCACCATTAGACAGTTTATTACGGAAGACTAAGAGATAAGAATGAACCTTAAGAGGATAAGAGTCCCACATGGATAGTACGAACGGGTAGTTTCGGGAAGCCCAATCGGGCGGCCTTGTGTAGAGGTGGCAATCAAGAGGCCGATTCATGACCTGACCGTTGGTCGCCGGATCTCAAAAGCTGGACCCGGAACAGGTCTGGCTACATAAGGGCGGGTTCATTGAACTGGCCTGACCCGGTTCATTGAACCGCCAATTTTGTAACCAAAAAAATGTAAAAAATAAAAAATAAAAACAACTCGAACCCGTCTTCCGGCCCAAAATAGGCCCGGAACCGGTAGATCAAAAAAACAAAACTAAGACTCGGAACTGGCCCGATTTTACCACGGGTCCAGTTCCAAGGCCCGTAGGTCCGGGGCCAGTTTCGAGCCGGTTCCAGGGTGAGTTGGCGGGTCAGACCGAGCCTTGGCACATCTGGTCTTGGGCAACAAGGTATGACCTCCTTATATAATGGAGTGAGGAATGACCATTAACACATTACATTCTCCATTATTTCATACAAATCTACAACACTTCATCTTCTTCACATTGCTAACTTAAGCATCAGAGACTTTTCACCGAAAAACTCTTCCGGTGTGAGAGGTTTTTAGGTATCAAGGTATTCAATCGGCGAAGAGTTCAAGTCAAGACGATTTCCAGCCGCTAGCCTGTTCCGCGTCCCACGACTTTTGATATTCGATTCCACTTTAGCTTGAGTTGAGCAACCGAGCTGTGGTTTGCCGCTCATCATTTTGATTAGCGAGTGAGGGACCGGTTTGTGGTTACCCACTTTGCTTTTGAGTGTCGCGAGACAGTCGATGTAAAATCAGTTTTGATCTATAAAATTTATTTACCAATAAAAAAAAGAAGGTAAAATCTAACCAAAAGATAAAAGTTGTGACATAATTTTAAAAAATATAAAAATCATATTAAATAGTTTTGAAATTTTAATTTGGAAAATTTGTCAAGTTATTTTAGGGAGTATTTTGTCAAACCGATGAATAGTCAATAATTGGAATTATGATTGGTGCCTTGGGCCCACCAATTGTACTGAGCATCAATCACCGATAATAAACTCGGGATTTGTCGGGATAAGGCTATTTCCCTTCATTTCATTTTTTTCCGTTCTGCTACAATTTTTTTTTAAAAATTGTTTTATTATTCATTATTTTGTAAAATCAATGATCATTAACTACATTAAAGCCTATTTAATACCATTTGATTGGTCACTAAATATTCTTTTATTATTGAAAATTTTCACCTATAACTAATTTAAACACACTTGATAAAACAAAAAAAATTAATTATACACTTTCTTAATCTGAAAAAAAAAATATTTTGAAATCAATACTAAATTTAATTATAATGTTTTAAGAAATAAAATCGTGCAAATCAGGCATCATATTACAATTTTGCCAATATTTTTTGGTTAATTTAGCATAAACTTATAATCCTAACAAGTCAAACAGTCAAAAGTATTAATAAGGTATCAACGTGATGCAAGGCCATCCACGGCTTTGACGGCGCGCGGTTTATTTTAGTCATTAGAATTCAGTTTTTCTAGAAACACGCCGTTTTGAAGCCTGCTGTTTTCTTCCTCCAAGTTTGGGAACCAGAAAAATATCATACTCGCATTCACATTATACAGAAATGTTACGGTCCCGTCACGAAATCACTCCGTCAGGGTTTGCAACCGTTAGATTATCATGTAACAGTCAGAGATATATGATCTAATGGTTACATACCTCGACGGAATAGTTCCATAACGAGACCGTAGCATCTCCCCACATTGTAAACCTAGAACCATAAAAAAATGCAATTTACAATTAACACAAATGGTACAACTTATTTCGATATTAATTGATTCAAATTAATATTTTTTTTTTTTTTTTGTTCATTTGAAGAACCAAACCATAATTTAACCATTGTGCATTAATTATTCAATCCATATAACCATTTGACTAATATATTTTTTATCCAAAAATTGCTTAAATCAAATCATTTGAGTACAACAAATAAAGCAAGGTATATCAAAATGTTTGTTCAAGATTGACGGCATCTCTCGTTCATTTTGTTAATCGTGCCAAGTTCAAATAGAAACTAGACTCGTTTCATAGTCGAAAAAAAACGAGTGTGTTCACAAATGTTCGATAATATTAGTAGACATTGATTCAATAAAATTAATTATTATTTTTTGTATGTACATGATATTTTTTATTAAGAAATCTAATAAGTAAAAATATCTTTATTTTTATTTTTATTTTTTATTTTTTAAATTTTCATATTCGAGTTCGAACTAGTAGATTTTGTGTTACTCAAACAATTTTAAAAAGTTTTTTTACTAAATTATTCGAACAAAAGCGAATGCAGATTCTAACGAACAATTAAACAAACAAGGTCGAACACGACTAAGAAAATAAACGAACGAACACAAACAATGCTCAAACTCTACTTTCGGTTCGATTACAACACAACAATGTGTAATACATTTAAAAGGAGGGTAGATCAAAAAATTCTAAAAATTAAATTCAGATAGATACATTGTATAATGCATGTAGTAATTTTCGGAGAGCTAGACTTGGTAAATTATTTTGCCATTTTTTCCATAGATTACCTAAACCATATAATACTTTTGTGTTTATGAATGAAATTACATTTTGAAATGTCTGCTTTTTCTTTACCAAAAAAAAAAAAAA